GACACATACACAAAATATCTAAATTATTTGATAAAACAATACTGATTTCATTTTCACATGATATGACACTTAGAGCAAGAATTCATAAGAAGCTGAATACCCTTGTTTGGATGCTTTCTTGACTCAGCAAGGATTAACTCAATGACAAAAATACATGCCATATCCACTGTGACTTTAATTTATTCATTTTGTTTACACATAAAAGGCTCCACAAGTACTTAGTCACCAAAGAGTCAAATGCTAGGCCTACCTATCTCACCTGTTTACCCTTTTCCGTGATTTTCAGGGAGATTCTTATTCATTTTTAATGCTATTAGTACTGTTAATAACATTACCATAATCACAATATCATTGACATTAATAGCATTAGAAAAAAATTGTGAAAACTCAAGACATTGGGAATTTAGGTAAATTCATCTAAGCCTTTTAACTGGCTCCTTGGTGATGGAGAACCATTTGTGGAAACATCATTGCAAACAAAATTCAGAAGACAGAAGTACAGTGAACAATGTATATACCTACTTGCAATGGGTTAAATTACTGTTGAGTAATAGCATATTCCAAACACACTTTCTCCATATATTTCTTTTTACTAACAACATGAAGCTAATCCCTCTCTTTTGATTCAAACAATGGAAAGGTCAGATACTGTGCACACTAACATTAAAAACAGTCACATCCATAAATGTTCAAATAATTCAGAATTCACTTGGATGCTGTTGTATACTTCTGGTAATCTTACCATGGCTTTTACTGCATTTTTTTAAGTGTCAATAAATGATTATGATATTTAAACCATTGCCGCCGGGGAAAATGAACAAAAAATGGGGGAAATGCAGCACTGATTTTTTATATTTTTGTGAAATATCTCTGTCCATAGATGGCTCTGCTTGTCCTGATTTCACCTTTCCTTGAATTGGCGGGAAAAAACGTATTTTTACTAGTGCTATAATTATAGATGGTGTTATTTTTAACAGCAAATTAGGATAAAGTTAAATATTTTTGTAAATCGATGAAAAGAGTGAACGGGCGAGACAGGCAGTACTCGTAATTGGCTCATTGGATACTTAGTACAAGTGTAGCCATCTATGTGTAAAAACAATCGAACAAGTCGACTCACAGTGGGCATGGCATGTACGTACATGCCATCCCCGGCGGCAATGGGTTAAAATATTATTAATATGTTTTTCTATTGTTTTGTTTATGTTACAATCTTTCAAATGTATTGTTTCACTAATAAGAAATTATAGACTAATTGAACATAAATCCTGCTTCAAGCTCATCAAATAATGTAATTCTCAAATGAATATTCACGCATAGTTGTACAAACTTAGATATTCTATTTTCATTAGTATGTTCAAAGAATTGGAGTAAATAAAAAAATCCTGTCAAATAAGTTTTCATGCATACTCTCCACATTTACCTATTAGTGGCAAACATGGCCTTGTGTACCCACGCACACATTTCTCTAAATTATAGCAAGTAGTGCTACTTTTCTTGTAGAGTGTTATTTTGTGGGGTGTCTTGAGAAGCACTGATGATCAAAAACACCTTTTTCAAAGGTTAAAATATCCAATCACTGTATCACTTAGCTCTTGGTATCTTTCTTATGAATCGTGAATTTTTGATATTCAAATATCTACAGAACAAGTTATCTAAGCAATTTAATGACTTCCAAATATCAAGATTGAAAACTTTTTGAACATTCAAGTGAATATGATCAATTTAAAATGTCTAATTTTTGGGTGAAATATATATCAAGAATATATCAAGATATCAACTTGAGTAGAAATCTGTACCGATGTTCTATTATCATCACATCTAGCTAGTCTCTACTCTCTATCATAACTCTAATCTTACTTTATCCCAACATTTACTCTTCCATCATTATCAATCTGAAGTTTCACCTTCATCCATCCAAATCTATACCAATTACCTACCATTAACCTGCCTCTGCATCTGATCATCTACCCTGGCCATTGGGCCTAGGTCATTCCAATTATAAATTTTCATCATAACCTATCGGTGACATAGTTTGGTTGGGGAATAATAAAAAATAAAGACACAATGGCCTTTTTCGTTACTCTCCTGTGCATACAAGGTAATGCACATCACTTGGCACAGGCACCTAATGAAATAATTTTATGAATTTTTATAGTTGAATTACGTTGAAATTATGTGCTCACAGAATTCACTTGAATCAACATCTGGCATATATAAGCACTCGCCAAGTCGTGGCAACAGTGACTCAAATCTGAAGAGTGATACTACTTCTGATCACTTGATGTAAATATTTAAGCTGCCATAACTCCCTTCTTTTCTTTTTTCCTTTTTTTTCTTTGCTTATAACTTTACAAATATTTGATTTTCTTCATTGCTGTTGCATTTTGAATTGTAGAAAGCACAGTATTTTTGGTATCAATCAAATATTTTTTTTGTATATATCTTGAATACTGAAACAGGATTTATTTTCTTGAAAATTCATATTTAAATTTTGGAACTAATAAAAGGAATTAAAAAATCATTATTAAAACTGAATTTCTAATTTTTTTGTGTGTGGTGTGTGTGCCAAACATGAAAAATTATTTATTTTTTATTTAAGATATTTACTTGCCAAATGAAATCAAACTCAAGATAAAACATCTCTTTAATAATACTAGCCAGAAAAAAATACTTTAAAAATCCTATACGAAGGGTACCCAGATAACATGGTGACTGCCCCCTTACGTCTGCTTATAATCTACCCTAAATATCTACTCACGGCTACAAATCTACTCTTAGCCTATGCCCATTTACCCCAGAACATTCGCAAACCTTGATAAACTGATCCTGCATCATAGTCAACTCACCCATAAATTTTATCACAATTCATTGGTAACTTTTTGTGTAATCTTGGTGATAAAGAGATCACCAATATTAAATAATTATGCTTTTAGAAACCCTACATGAAGAATGCCATCTTTAACAATCTAACCATAACTCACCATGTGTTTTAGACATACAACTCATAATCAATAGTATTTGACATAAGTCCCAAAGTAAAAGTTTAATTTTGGATGAATAATAAAAACAAATGAATCTCAAACTGGTTATTAATGTGAATAAAGTTGAATAATTCAGTATTTTCTTTCAAGTTAAAAAACGACCCTGAAAAATATTTAATTCATACCAAGTTTAACAATCTGTAAAAACAATCCTAAAATGTATTTCATTTGTAAGAAGTTTAAAAACTTTAATGTATGAACACTTACTTCTCTATGTCTTTGACCAGGGTGTCATATATGGCCTCATCATATCTTCCATTAACAAGTGGAAATCCTCTGAAACAACAAAAGGCATTTGTATAATCAATTCAATAAAACCTTAACAAGAGTTGTGGGTTTTTCACCATAATAGAGTATTTTACTAATATGGTGTATCACAAAATACTAATTACAATTCTTCAATCTGCATATTTTTCAATCAAAATAGACCAAATTCATACAACTCTAAAGGTGTTTACAAAGATGGGAGCATATCAAAAAATATATATATTTATATATACATAGATAAAACAGAAATCAGGAACTACACAATTAATGATGAAAAGTTCTCACAAGAATGCCGGGTATACAATTTATTTACTGCTAAGTACATGAGTGTTATGTCCATGCAATAGCCCTACCTGTACATGAAACTTTCTTTATTAAAACAGAAAGATGACCACAAAATCACTTACTCCACTTGCAGCTGCTGAGCCTTTGGGGTTTTGCTAAGTTTGGAGAGAGTTGATAAAACCTGTTGAATAAACAAAGAATATAAAAATCTTACACACAAAAAAATATGATTTTTTTTTTCAAGTTCAGTCTACTATAGTGTACCTGGGAGTGGGATCGTGGGTGAAGGAGAAAAGAAAGAGAGAGAGAGAGATTGAGAAAAGAAAGAGAGAAAAAGAGAGAGAGAGAGAGAGAGAGAGAGAGAGAGAGAGAGAGAGAGAGAGAGAGAGAGAGAGAGAGAGAGAGAGAGAGAGAGAGAAGAGAAAAAGAGAGAGAGAAAAGAAAGAGAGAGAGGGTACGAGTTGTAACAGCAATGGTACTGCATGGGTACAAGTGAAAAGAAAAGGACTTCTCTACTTCCGAGCAGAATCTTACCTTTCCAAAGTCAGTGAGCTCAAAGAGCATTTGTGGTTCAAAAAGGTCATCTTTGTGGAGGCCAAACTTCTCACACGTACTCAGAAAGATGCTGATGTTTTTCATACACAAAAACTGCGGAAAAAAAAATATGGTTTAGTCCCGATTTGTGATAACTTTCCATTAAATATGAACTGCTATACATGATCACTCTTACAATGCACATTTATTTTCTTTCAGGCATAGTTTCAAAAAGTTCAGCAAAAAAAGGATATCAAAGAGGTCTTTCTTGAGACCCTGGCTTACAACAAAATGTTAACAATGTTAAATCTATTGTATCACGTATCTCTTTTCTGCTTGCCCGCCAGATGGATATCCTAAAACAATTGAAACTTTACTATATGGAGTTTCGAGGGCAGTTTCGCTCCTCATCCATTATGCTTAACCCAATGCTGCCGAGGAAAATTAATAAAAAATGGGGAAAATGCTGGGCCCATTTTCTATATTTTTATGAAATGTCTCTGCACATAGATGCCTCTATTAGTGCTATGTTATAAACATTAGTAACAGCAAAATAAGATAATGTAAAATATTTTCGTAAATCAAAGAAAAGGGTGAACGGGCGAGACAGGCAGTACTCGTAATTGGCTCACTGATGACTTAGTACAAGTGTAACTATCTATGTGTAAAAACAATCAAACAAGTAACTCACAGTGGGCATTGGGTTAACGCCTTGCTGACGGGCATAGCATGTACGTACATGCCATGTCCACTGTGAGTCGACTTGTTCGATTGTTTTTACACATAGATGGCTACATTTGTACTAAGTCACCAGTGAGCCAATTAAGAATACTGCCTGTCTCGCCCGTTCACCCTTTTCATCGATTTATG